GGATTGAGGCCTGCGGGTGCTGAGAGGTTGCCTTAGTTCTGTCTTCTTCGTGCTGGGAGGCAGAGGGGGAGCTCAGTCATCCTTGTTGCTCACATGGTTCCAGTCCTGGGTTTCTTATAGTTCACTGGTTTTGGTAGAAGCTGGACATGGTGACATATGCTTCTTCTTGATTTGATCCCAAGGGAGTGAGGAGGGGCTGTCCCTGGGCAGCCGGGTTCAGTGTCAGGCTTTCCAATTGGAAAGGAAACGGAGGGTGCAGACTGCCATTTGTCGTTCCAGGCGCAAGCAGCAGGCCCTGGTACACATGAGGTCTGTTCTTGCCACCTTCCCTGCAGCCTGGGGACCTGCAGGAGGGGATCTCAGGGGTATCACACACACTGGCATTCCCAGCCAGGTACCTGAGGGGTACATCTCCTCTGAAAGCTTTTGGGGTGATGACTGCCTGCTCGCTTGGCAAGTTGGGGCCCTGCTCACTCCCTCCAAGCCTCTGCTTCTCAGACTCTTCTAGTTGTGCAGGAAATGCATCTTGCAGAAAGCCTTCCACTTCGTCTCTAGCTTGAATGCCATCCACCTTATGAATCTGGCAGTCCAGGAAACTTTCAGGATTGAAACTCACGTTCAAATTCTGCACCAAAAAAACAAAAATAAAAACAAGAGAGAAGGCATAAAGAGTGCACCAGAGAAACACACCACCAAATGTTCTGTTCAGGAAAAGATCTGAAGAACTTCTGCTAGGGGCTTACCAGGGAATGTCAGAGACAAATCCACATGTTCTAGTTGACTTTTTGCTTTTAGAGGTGCTATGACACCTCTGGGTCTGAAATGACCACTGGCTGTGTCCCCCAGCCTTGGGGAGGACTGGAAATTTCTGAAATTTGTATCTCATTTTAGTTTCCTACTTCCACAAGCTGCAGTTAGAATCTTATGAGGAATCCTGGTTTGAGAATGCACCAAAGACCAACACTTGAGGTTCAACTATTCCTTATTCTGCAATATCACTCCTGGCTATTGGGCTGCCTTGAACGTAGTGACAAAGGCATTGGAAGCGCTCACCTTTTTTGGTTTCTTGCACAGTTGCTCCAGAGTCTTCTTATGATCTGGGAGACTGGGCCATACAATAGGCTTAATTCTGAAATAAGAGGACATCCATAGATGAAAAGAATGGTAGAGGGAGCAGGCACATTACATTTTTCCACTCGTTCTGAGTCAGAAATTAGAAGAATGGATTTCTAGTCTTGGCTCTGCCACAGCTAGGTGGGTCACCTGGGGCAAGGGACTTATCTGGGCCTCAGTGTCCTACCATCTGTGGAGGAGTTGGTCCAGAGATTGTTTTCAGTGGTCTACTCTGGGCATGAGACAAAACACTGATACACCTCTGGGAAAGCGCTGGCATAGAGGAACAATGAGGCTTGGCAATGAAGTGGCTTGGGGTAGTTATGAAGCTACAGTGGGACCTGCTCATCTACTCCCAATATATATGTTGTCATCTCAGTCCTTTTGTCTACTGGTGGCAACCCCATTCTCTCTCATTTTTGTAGAAGTGAGGAATATTTTCTAAGTTACCCAGACAAATGGCTTCAAGATGGTGCTTTTCAAATTGGAGTATTTGCATTCTTGGGATATGCAAATATCCCTGTGCTGAAGGCATCTTTCTAGAGTGTTAATGACTTGGCTGGTATGTATCTAAAACATTTTTATGATGTAACAAATATGGCCTTATCATCAGGTAGAATGCAAAAGTCCCGTGAGTGTGTGCTAAAAGTCAAGACTTCAGATATATTCTGCATTTTCCACTGGCACCTTTAGTTGCCCAGACATTATGGAGGCATGACTCCTACTCTTTTAGGAGGAAAAGTTTGGGGGGAGCATTCACTTGATGTCTGGTTTATTTCACCTCTTAGGAAACTAGGGAAATTCATGAGTGTCTGAGGATAAGGAGGGATGTTGGGGCCATAATTCCTGAAATGCCTTATTTCCCTTTGTGGTTTTCTCATTAATAAATAGGATTAGAGTTCTGACTGCCTGGGAGCCCACATAACCACTCATTTGATTAAAGAAATTCACCTTTTTTTCCATAACACACAGGCCAAGATAATCATCGCAGCCACAGAGAAGAAACTCAGAATGCTGACTATTAGCAGAACAGGCTCCATCTTTCCTGGAATGCAAGGTTAGTTCTAGGTTAGCAATCATTAAGCATGCCATGAGGGAGACTTCAGGATGATCTGAATTTATTTAGTAACTTGGGTTCATTTATTGTTTTTTGAAAGTTGCTCTTTGGTGAATAGGATGACATCATAGCCGTATGGGGGAATCTTGGCTTCAGCAAGTGGCTCTGACTTAGATGACCAGGTCTAGAACATCTGTCACTTGAAATGTAAAAGTGACCTAGCATTAAAGATACCAGCACTCCCTCCCTGACTCTCATCACCAAGAGAAAGAAACCAAACAGCGGGTGATGAGATCTATCGACGCTCCCCCCTGCAGTGTCAGCCGTTTTCAGGGCGAGGGTGAGAGGTTAGTATGGCCGATTAGTTCCCCTCATCCCACAAAGGGAAGGAATATGTGTGGTGTTTCAGGTCCCCAGGGGCCTGCCTGAGGCATGTCCTTTGGTTCTTCTGGCACTCTTCTTTCCTAGACCACCAGGATATCTTCATTATTATGGGAAAGGGAGTACCAGAGAGCCCCATTAGCCTGCTACTCTGCCATCCACAAAGGTGTCCCTAGAGGGGCCTTAGAGATGCCAGCCACTGGGATCCCAGTCTGAATTGGTAAACTGGAGGCAGTAGGTGGGGATTTTGTTCAGAAGTATTAGCAGGTCCCAGGATCACCCAGGGCAGTAGAGTCTGGACAGCACCATCAGTTGATCAACATCTGAGGGCCTGCCTCCCACCATGTCCTTGATCTTTCCAAAAAGGGCAAAGTTGTCAGGTCTTCTCCAAAGAAAGCGTAAGAAAGCCCTCAGGGGCATCCTCGCTCTCGCTCTCACTCTCTCACACACTTTGACCTGCAAAGCTCTCTGCAGGGAACGGAGACTCTATAGTCATTTCTCACCTGAGCCCTTGGTTTCTGGGGTCCTGAAGTGGAAACTTGGACTCCATTCACTCCAGAAGCCTTCAAAATAGCCGGCGGTAGGGATGGATCGGACTTTAATCTCATACATTGCATCAGGCTGTAGTTTCCTCTGTAGGAGTATCAGCTTCGTACTGGATAAATTCACGTGCTGAAGAGCAAAAAGTGCCACTACATTTCTGGGACGAGAAAAGAGGTGCTGCCCAGGTCTCCCAAGTCATTTGAGTTGAGTATCTTTAGTCTTGTGGACATTCCCTCAAAGTCCTCTCATATTTGTTACAAGAAGAAATCTCCACGTGGAGGGGTGAGCAGCAGAATTTGGGGCAGAGACTATGAGCTCATAAATGATGCTACAGGTGGGGAAGGAGGAAGCGGTGCGATGGGTGATTATTCAGGTGAGTTGGGCTCTCCCGCATTGGGAAGATATAAATCACTCCCAGGTGCCCACCTTTCTCCCACACTTCAATCTCTGCTTTTCCTTTCTCCTTTCACATCCCAAAAGGAGATGAAAGGAAGTGGTAAGACTAGTGAGCAAAAATCATTTTCTTTCACAAAAATATAATTCTACCTTCCTCTCTTCTTTTACTCTATTCCTCCACTCTCACAACTTCTATAAACCAGCTGCGGTTATGACTTGGAGATATTTTTGCCTGGTTTGCTTGTGAAAGTTGTGCTAAATGTGATACTTTTTGAGGCCCCCAAGTAAAGAAGATTGATTTTGATTTAGTCTTGACCTATATTGTTAGTCCAACAACCTAATTTAGAAACATCATAAAGACTGAAACAGAGCAAACAAAACAAAACTCCCACAAAAACCACCAACAACACAGCCCCACCCAAAAAGACACAGAGTTAGAAGAGGACTGGGCCAGAGGCGATTCAGGTTTTGTGGGACCTGAAGCTTTTACTCTTAGGAGCTTCTTTCAGTAAAAGGTACATTTTGAGTACAAAATTGCTAGGGAACCTCCCCTAGTAAATGTACCACTGGAACAAAAAAAAAGTAACATTAAGAAGTTCCTATTTTATAGTTTAATACATTTATATATATTTAATTTATGTATGTAATTTATTTATTAAGTATATTTATATATACATCTTCATAAATTTCATAATCTATAAATGTAGTTGACCCACGTACCATCCAATCACCTTCATTTTTTTCCTGGCGATAGGTGACCTCATGTAGTAATTGTTTTACATAATTCTTCTGCAAGTGTGACGTATTAAATGTCACCACAAAGTCATTTGCTTCCTCACGATAGGTGACTCTTATGTCAAAAGGAGCCTCAGGTTTAACTGGAAAGGAAAAAAAAAATGAGGTCAGCCTATAGGGCAGTCAAGAAAATAATTATAATTTTTAAAGTTCATCTACTCTGAAAATCACATTCCTGTTTAGAAAACCATTTCTTCTTGTTTCTGGTTCAAAGCCTGACTACATTTCCCCGCCTCCCTTGCAGCTGGGTGTGGCCTAGTGAGCAGTGTGAGTGGAAGTGATGTGTGTTATTTCCTATCTTGGCCTAGAAACCCCATGTGTGTGACCCCATACGTGTTCCCCTTTCACCTCTTGGAGTCATATATTGAAGACAGTGGATGAAGGAACCCTGAGTGTTGCTTTGAGGACCTCTACTCACAGGTTAGAAACACCCATTTGGCTCTTAGGAGAGCAAGAAATAAACCTAATGGTGTTCGAGATATCATGTTTTAGGGCTTATTTGTTACAGCAGCTAGTGCTAATTTTATACTAAAAGACATTCTCTTCACCTTTTGAATACTTGTTAATAACTAGCCCCAAAGCAGAGTCTTCATTGTTCCAGTAAGATCAGGTAATAAGCTTACACCTCATTTCAGCTATATAGAAGTCAAGGGTTTGCATCCTGGCCCTCATCCAGTGTGACCTCAGGCTGTCCCCTCCTTCAATCTCATTTGCGTTTACTCTAAACCCCTCTCTGGTCTCTTCCTTCTGCCTGCCTGCCTCAGAGTTGCTGTTAGGATCACATGCACCATATATGAAATGCTGTTGGAGGGAGATAGGTATTATTTCAGGCAGAGAAAGGTACTGAATTCCTAGAAGAGCATGTGTGTCAGGCTGCCTCCCCACCATTTACTGGAGGCTTCCCTGTCTTGGCCTCTTAGCTGCTCTTCCACCAAAGCCTGGGAAGTCAGTTATCTAGAGATGGGGCAGCCACTATTCTGCATGGCTGATCTCAGACAGCAACGGAGGAACAGAGGTTAAAATCTAACCTAAACCTGTTGTTAATGAATGGGAGAGTATGTGCTCATCAAACTTTCACTCAGGAGACTGAACTGGACTCTGGGCAGTCTGAACTGGGGTTTAAGACTGACTTACTGACCCAGTAAAATGAACTCGTGCAGTGGAATTTGGCCCACGTATGACCATCAGTTGCTCATGGGGGTGACTGCCTACATTTCTCCTGTATTACTCCAGAGGTTCTATAACAGAGCAAGTGGTTCCTTCTTCACCCTTGGATGTCTCCTGAGAGGGGAAGTTGAACCACTTTTACCCTTAGATGCACTAGATAAAGGAATGATGCCCTACAGGGAAGCGGGAGGGAAGGGGATGGGTACAGGGAAAAAGGCCAACAGAGAATGCTGTCAATCCTTTTACACCTGCCAAGCCAGTTCCTACCCTTCATTCAAGGAAATAATCACATTCTCAACAAAACCTCTGCCACTGAGTTCCTTCCATCCCCATCTCCCAAGGAAGATAAAAGAATAATTAAGGGAAGACCAGACTAATATTGATTATATACCTGCTAAGTGCCAAGTGCTTCACTTACACCATCTTCCATCAACAATCACTTATCGCCACTACACTGATGAGGAAATTGAGTTTCAGAGACATTAATTAATTTTTGTTCAGGCCCCTGCAGGATGGTTTAGGAGGATTTAAATTCCATTCTGTCTGACCTGGTGCTCACTGTTCTTCGTTTAGCTTTTGTTTCTGGACTCTGTTACCCCCCACCGGTTTGGTCAGGCCCTCTCCCCATATGTCTGCCTCTAGCCTAAATGCTGTTTATGAGCACATTTGAAGAAGATGCTCATTCCTCAAGCAGCAGTTTAAAAAGTGTATTTATTCTTGCACAACATGAACAATTACATAAATTTACCCAAGAAAAGTGGGAAGGCGGGAAGCTGCCCTTGTAGACATATTGGGGGGGGGGTCCACGCCTAAAGATGGGGAATTAGCGAGGAGGCAGTAGCTGCAGGGCAGCGCTGGCTCTGAGGTCCAATCAGGGGCATCCGGGTTAAATTTAATTAAGTGACAGTTCTGTTAATAAAGTGTCACATTAGGAACCAGAAGAAGATGCTACGGTGAGACAAGCCTCCACCACTTCCCACCTTCCTTGCCCAGGGGTGCTGTCAAAGCCCTGAGGCACTCTCGCCACCCCCTTCACGGGGCCCATGCCACCAACGGTGTGCACGCCTTGCCTTCCCCTTACCCCTCAAATGAGGCGTGTCAGGTTTGTAGTCTGCGGGGTGGTACAGAATGTGGACCCTTCAAGGCCTTGGGCAGGTGAGACTTGGGGATTGAGACGGGGCAGCCCCCC